AAAAAATTGGGGTGCCCGTGCTCGTTGGTGAGCTAGAGCCATTTTTCAACTGACAGAGCTCAATATCAAGGCAAATCCGTCATGTTTTCAATGTGCGCGCGCACGAGCGCGCGCTAATGACGCTATTAATTATGCGCAGTAAGGATGCGCAATGCAAATGTGAGGAATGACCTTAACCGAAGGCTAGGGTTGAAAAACGTGCCCGTTCTCCCTAATTCACTCTCTTGTTTTAGTGACATCAGTCTAAGTTACTATACACGATCGCGCCATTTACAAGAGAAACACGTGTTTCCTAGATACACTAAGAAGTTCCACTACTAACCCGAATCTACTGCGCTCGTTCTTCCCGTGGAAGACTTTTCCTTTTGTTTGGACTTGGATCTCGACAATGAAGAAACAACAATTTCATCTTCGTCGTCGTCGTCGTCGTCGACGTCATCATCACTGTCGTTGAACTGGGCCAGAGTTCTCCGGGGGGACTTCTTGCCACTGGATTCTTTTGACTGGACAGTGGAGGAGAAAAAGTTGTCCAGGCTGCTAGCTATCGATCCACGTTGAGAAGACACTGGGACTAGAGAAAGTTAAATTTAATTTTGAAAGGTTAGGAAAGCGAAAAATTAACGTTTACACGGGATTTCAGTGAAACGGGGCGTATCGTTATTGCTCTAAAAGGTTTTTTGATTGAGTTACGACCAATCAAATTCAAGTTAGTCTGAATAGCACAAATTCAAACTATTGTCGTGGTGATCAATTTGCACGTGCGATTGCGTGGCTTTTTGATTGGCTAAGGCTAATCTCGTTCCCAAATCGTTTGGTCGTGGAAGGTCTGGGTTCAAGATTAGCCTCAGGCGTCAGGATTAAAATGGAAGAAAACTTTAGCTGGGGAAAAAGTAGCTAGAGACATAACCGAAACCTCTTTGGATAGAAGTCTACTGCAATCTTTTTAATTACAATCCGTTCGTATTTTAAACAGATATAAATAAGGTCTATATAACCTCTTTTGTGATCGTTAAAATAATAACATCACGGTTCAACTGACATTTATTATCTACTTTCCCGTTTGGTGTTCTCTTTCCATTCGCCTGAAACTGCCCCTGAAGAACACTTTATTTACCGACGAACGATTCGTGTGGCAATATGATAGATCTGTTTTAATTCTTACGTGTGCTTGCAGGCGATTTTCGAGTGAGACTAGGGCGAGCTGCTGTTTTCTCGTCACCAGTAGCTCTCTTCTTTTTTCCAGTCACAATTACATCATCTTCACTGTCTTCTTCAGAGCCCGCGGTCAAACTGGTCCTTGTCGAACTCAACGTTCCGGAATTCTCTTTTTCCTTATTACTACCACCAACACCACCGCTACTGCGATTTGAACCTGATCTCTTACCGCTCAGAGGTCTCTTAGACCGCGACAGTCCTGGCCTCTGAAGATTCTCGTCCTTATTGGACTCAGAATCTCCAAGATCTCGATTGGTAACGAGATGACCGGTCGTTCGTGATAAACCAGGTCTACTTTCAACAGCGGCCACTCGGCTTTCTTCCCTCGGGCTGGTTGAAGGAGGGCTAAGCGCTCGTCTTGACCGAGATAGAGAAGGTCGCTGTTGACTCACGCCCGTGTCCAGCGATCTTCTAGACCGGGAAACTATTGCATCATCGTCGTCGTCGTCGTCTTCGTCGTCGCTATCCACGATCTCGAACGTTTTCTTCTTCGGTCTTTCCCCGGTTTCATTCGGCGCGGAAACGTTAACTAGCCCAGCAGACCTCTTTTGAAGCGATCCCGATCTCTTGGGGCTCGTTACGCGAGTATCTTCCTCCTCGCTCTGTTCAGAGATATTTGAGAACCTTGGTGCTGTAATCAAACTCCGTCGCGGGCCTTCAAGAGAAAAACAAATGTTACCCAGGGGAAATCATAATTACGTAACTGGACAACATTCCCCTCAGACACTGCTTTGTTACAAAAGTATTAAACAGTTTCGTAACTCCCTTAGAACTAGGCACCAATGGCAGTTTTGGCAGGATAGCAGAAATTCTTTATTCAACGCGGAAGCGTCTTTGAATGTCGCGGATGCCAATGACAACAAATCAGTTGTGCACTGATACACAGTTAGCAGACCTCAGTAAACACTTTTTATCCTTACTACATCAACACACTGTTAAGCAAACAGGAGACAAGAATTAAAAAAATACACTGGTTCGACTTTTTTGTACTTTAGTTGTAGGAAATTCAACGCTGCTTAGGTCAACTGAAACAAAACGGTGCAATCATGTGCAGTGTTAAAATTACAAAAATAAAAACACCTCCGACTGTAAGTCATCATCATTGACTATCCAGATGAGAAACTAACCAACCTGGTCCCAGAGGTTTTCATTGGTTTACTATATTCTTCAAAATTCAAGCGTAATTGTATAGTCATCCCAAAATCCCATACGCGCGCGTACGATTATGTACTGTTTTGCTAACAGTCCAAATTGATTTTTAATTTGGATAAAAGTCCAAATCAGGAAGTAATTAGGACAGATCCGTGCGCTATAAATATATATAATAGGGTTTTATACTTTCAAATTTGGAAATAATTGAAAGAAAAATTTCGGAGGACCGCCAAAATTTGAATCTGAATATATCATTCATTCAGTTGAAAACGTATTACCTGTTAATTGTACACCCAGTCTATTGCAAACGAAACTACTTCTATTTCGAAGTGTGTGGCCCATATATATCAAATGTAAATAGCTTCACAAACAACACTGATAACTAACAAGTGCAAGAATGAGTAATTAGACTAAGCTTCGTTTAGGTTAACAGATCAGCAAAGTGATTCTTGTTTGGAAGCCAATTCCGGGCAACATGTTAGATTAAGAGAAGCACGAGGTTAGCAGCATCGTGATTGATATCGATTGAGGAGACGGAAGTACCACCAGTATTGGCTGGTGAAGCATGCCATCAGTTGGTTAATGATCAATGTTAACTGTCAGTAGTGAGGCAAAGCTGCGAGAGATGTTCATGCACCAATCTTCACTGAACAGACATACCCGCCTCGTCCGTATTTCTTTTCTCTCCTTCATCGTCGTTTTTCTTCGCGGACTCTTTGCCAGCTTTTTTCTTTCCGCGGGATTTTTTTGTGTTCTTTTGCTTATCTTTTTCACTAACGCCTGAAGTTCTTTGGCCTCTATCTACTGACTTATCTGCACTGGACTGTGACGTCTTTTCGTTCTTTTGACTTTTTGTTTTACTTCTACCTGACCGGCCAAACACGACGGCGTCATCGTCTGAGTCAGATTCTGACAGGCCACGTGCAAGTGCTGACGTAACGAGTGCTTGATCACGTGCAAGTGCCTTATCACGTGTCTTATCACGTGCAAGTTCAGCTGGTGCAAGTGCATTTTCATGTGCAAGTGATTGTCGATTGGACGGTGAATCACGTGTTAGTGGCGAGTCACGTTCTGTTGTGGCCACTTGATTGGCTGAAGGTGCTAGGGCATTGTGACCAGCAGAATCCTGTGGGTCTTTCACAGCAAAACAACATAACAAAAATACCAGTTACTGTTGCGTGACACATCTCTAATAGCATGCGTGACACTTCACGGTTGCGTATAGATGAATCAGTTTCAAAACTTTTGAATTCGACGCATTACATGGTGTGCTGGAAGCGGTGCTGATGTTAGTTAGCAATTTTGGTGTGGGTATAATCTATTGTCTCTTGAATCTTTTGTTTTACACCATTGATAACCGTAACAACGAGAAATTCGATCAATTCACACCCTTAGGTATAGATGCATATAAAAGTAACAAAACATGCTTTGGCTCGAATAATGTTTCTGGATACAGAAATGCAAGCATTGGCGAGTTAAATCAGTTAATTCGTTTGACCACCAGTTCCCACTTTTTATACTATTATCCGAGTCCTTACCTGTCGAACTAGATCTTCTCAAACCTGTCACAGCAGGTTCTGGATGTCGTTTACTGCTGGATGGTTTAGTTACCACACCCTCATCGGAATCAGGTTCAGAGTCGAGAACGTTGCGACTAGAACTGAAAATAAACAGAATTTTCTTCAATCACACTCTTTTGGTGAAGTTTCTTTTAATAAACAACAGTGTATTGCTTTGCCTAATTAACATATTTTACACATGTTTCACTGTGAATTTCAAAACGTTTTCTGAGGAGAAGAAATGAAACCAAACGGAGATTACGTTTGGTACAAATAACTTAATTTCGTCGTTCTGGGAATTCCATTTTTAAAAGTTGACAGTCGAAGTAAATTTAAGCATTTAACGTTTCCATGCCATCTTGATTGAGGCTGACTCAAGTTGTTTAAAACTTCCTTTGAGAAGAACATCTTTAAAATATTTCATAAACTGAATTAATTTCCATACATTTCTCCCTGATTGACAAAAGGAATCTGTTGCATAGTGTGCAGACATAATTATCAAATTTGAACCCAGTTATTATTTGACATAGTTCGCACGAGTCTGCTGTTGTTTTGTGCGAGAACTTTTGACCGATGTCCGGTTCCTAACATCAGTGACATTCACTTCCTCAAAAAATCAAAGTTACACATGCGCATTAACCAGCTACAGCCTCTTCAAGTGTTTACCTTCCTCTAGTCCTGGTATCACGTGACTTTATCACCTCTTCAGGGCACCCCAGGTGTCGTTTTCTTGCCGAGTGCGCTCTCATCGCTGATTGGATGGTAACCACTGCGTCATCACGGTCTGTAAATTCCAGTTCTTCATCCAACTGTTTAATATGCTTGTTACGGACTGCGTGACCGCGTAGAGCTGCCTGGATCTCTTCTATTGCCTACAACGTGCAAAATTTCAAAAAGAATTTACAAAATGGTTTTCACCTCTCAAGCTTAATATTTGGCTGAAAAAAAAAATAAAGCAGTCATCTTCTCTCGGAAATTAAGGTCTTATATCCCCAATATGTTTTTTTGGGGGGGAGAGGAAAATTTATATTTCAGGGTAAAACACCAAGGCTAGAACCAGCACCGTTCGATCCGGAGTCCAGCGAACTGACGTATTCTTCAAAACACTAAAACTAAAAGAAGAAACGTCACCTTTTCTTTATCGTCTTCCTCCCTCTGTTTGATCTGTAATGAAATGAAAACATGCTAGTTCTGCCAGATATCCTATCAGAATCCATTGCTTTAATTCAGTATCAGCATTTCCAGTTGACTTATTTTTAAGTTTATTTACTTGCACAGCACTAAATGAGGAGAAACACCGTGAAATAGCAATGAGCTTAGCATCATTAGACTTCATGAAATCCCACAATCATTTGTGGAGGCTTATATAACTTTAAACAATAATTGAGTTAAGTAGCATCTATATATCACTGATAAAATCATGTCAGATGTAGTTGGCCATTGTTTTGCATTATAAATACACATTACTCTCCTTGGAAGTGACTTCACATGACTGGTACTGGCCTTTTTAGCAGTCCTCGTGGAATCAGCCGAAGATGTTTCGCTTTTTATTGTCCAATCGAAAAATAGCGCGAGCACCGCCGAGTTCAAGTTGTCATGGATCACGAGGATTACGTTGCTTAGCACCTTCTTGAAGAAAACCTTGGCCTTAGATACACGATATTTAGTGACGAACCTAATGCCCCGTCCACTCTAAGCCGGAGGAATTTAAACACGCAGCTTTAATTTTACGGTTAGGCCTACCGTCCAGACTAATCCGTCACGAAAGTGGAGCTTTTCAAAACGCCCTTCAAACCGGAGGAATTTGAAAACGCGGGCTCTTTGCTTTCGTGAGGATGGAAAACATTTTGAAAACGGAGCTTTTCGAAAACGATGGCGTGACGATTATCATGTGATTTCACTGCTCGAGTTTTCCTCAAACACAAATCCAAAATGACGGGTGATGTGGCGTTTATAAAATTTATCCTACGTAGTGTGGACTGGGCATAAGAAGATTACTTGGCCTAACATTCCAGTGCGGCCTTATTTTGCCGAAAAGCTTTCGCTGTTTGTCTACCCAGATAGAATGCCACTTATTTAATTCCCTTACCCTCTCTCTGTGTGTCCGCCAGTTTTTCTGCAGCGTGGAAGCAGCTTGATTCTCTCTCTCCACTCTCTCCTCTCTTTCTCTATCCTGCTCTTCTATTTGCTGCTTTTTCCTCCCTCGGTAACCTCGCCACTGCCGCTGGAGAGCCTTGGCGGCTCGCTGTTGTTGGAAGTCATTTAACATTCGATCCAGATCTTCATCGTGATCATCCTGTACTGGAACTTCCTTGAGAGAGGACTTTCTTGTTGGACTGTAAGCCGTAGAAAAGAACTCTAAGTCTGTTGTCTTTATCCAATGATGAAGAATACTATCGGCGAGTCTTAGCGTTCAATATCTGCTCACTAGCATAAGCGATGCAGTCTCTTATGATAGTTAATAGAGGGAAATGGTTAGGAAGGCCAGTAAACATCAAAGAAGCAAACAAAAAGGCTAAGATTTATGTTGGAAGGTCCTTAACCCTGCTCTTCTTTTGTTTTATGCTCACTGACTATGCATGAATTGCATGATCGCGATGCTCGTATCGGTTAGTTGTATGAGTACCCATAACCACCTTTTCTATTTTGGCAGGTTTTGTGCAGGTCAACCCCCAAAATAGCCAACAAAAACATACAACAAAGAACTCTGCCACGTTTCCTAACCATTTCCATCTATTAGCTCCGCTCTCACTGAATGACAAAAATTCATTTCTGGATATTGAAAGGGCGTGGCACGTTTCATTATCTCAAGAAAGATACTTTTTTGAAGGACGCCGGTTTAAAAACTCAAAATTTCACAAATAATGTTCCGGCGCATTAGACCTCATTGGCGCTCTTTTTACCGAGACATTTTGCAGGTTTTGAAAGTCAATATCTCCTACAATATTACAGCCAAAGAGCTAAATATCTCTCAATTACTAAGTTCGACAACTTCTTCAAATCTCTGGGGTCAATTCGTATCAAGCATGATGCCTTCTCTTCGCAGTCTTATACCACTGAGGCAACATATAAACAATGACATCATTAAGATTTCCCTTGAAACAAAAGAAATGACCTCTGGAGAATTACAAAGAAAACATTTTGAACCTTGTTATACTTGCGGATGATCTCCTTCTTTCTCCAGCAGCACCCTTTTCGTCTCTCAATCTGTCCAGCTCCTCTTGAGTTGACTTCAACTGCAACCTGAAAAAGAAGCGAAGTTAATAGTTCTTTCTACCGCTGACAAAATTTTCCTAACCCAAGGCTACGTAAACGGTAAACACATTCAAAGTTCATCGCCGACAAGACTGTTTGCTTTGTTAATTAATGTTTCAATTCCTTAAGAATCACACGCATTTCCCTGAATGAATTCGAATTCCCTCTCTTTGCCACTATGATCATTCTATCGCGCACCTTTGTTCACACAATCGGTCGCTATCTAAATTACAATATTTAGACAGGAAGCCACACTCGCCACACACTCGCCACACAGCCTTAGCTGGTTTTCACGCGGGTTCTCTGTCCTGGTCCAATTGGAATTTGGAGAGTTGGCTTTTGTGGAGGGAGGAAAACCGGAGAATCCGAAGAAAGACCTTCGGAGCAAGGCGAGAACCAACAACAAACTCAACCCACATATGGCACCGGGCGGAAATCGAAGCCGGGCAACATTGGTGGGAGCGGGCGCGCGCTCTCACCACTGCGTCATCCCTACTCCCCAAAGGACGAGGGCGCACCTACCCATCCTCCCCCATCCGATTTGCTAAATTACACGTACAGTGACTGAAGCCTACAAAATATCTTCATAAGTGATTATATGGGCTACCAACTATTAACCAACAGCCTCTCCTGTTTATCTTCCCAAGTTAGAGTTTCTCTTTGCTCTTTTCCTTTCCCTTTCTCACCCATCACGCTCCCATTCTCAAGCTTCACTATTTGACAAGACTGAGACACGGAGGAAAAGACTACTCGCAAGCCGAGTGGAAAAAAGAAACTTTACCTGAGATCATCCGAGACTGATCTGTAATGCGCACGATCTTCTTTCAGTCGTTCAATAACTTCCCGCTGTTTTTCTCTTTCTTCTAAAAGTTCAATTTCTCTTTCTTGTAGTTGAGCTAGTTTCTGAGATGTGGTTCCCTTCAGCTCCAGTCTCCCTGGAACTAAACACAACAACAGTGACTTGCATATTTTCAGACTAGCCCTGAGATTATTTTGGTTCCCTAATCCACCACAATATGAAACATAATTTTATTCAGTATTTCTAATTAATACCTTGCGAAGTGAGCTTCGAGATGCTTTTTCTTCTAACTTCCGTGTCGTCTTCTTTATCTTCTCTAAACGATTCCTTCCTGGCCAATGCCCCCTTTCCATCCGACTCTTGTACTTGCTGAAATCAAGATACGTATCAAGTAGAAAAGCAGCGAACTCAGAAAAACTCAAAAAATTGAAAAATCAAACCACAGGCTTTATCCATCGTTTGTTTGTTTGTTCGCTCTCCGTCTGTCTATTCAAAAGTATTTTTGCCACATAAGTTCGTTAAATGATTTATCCACGTATCACTCATACGCACTTTGATTTCACGACTCCTAAAGGCCTCAAAATCACTCCAAACGACGACAAGAAAGGAAAAAGAGAGAGAGAGAAAGAAGAGCATTCAGGACGCGATTTCTTTAACACTGGTTTCATAAATCCAGACATTTATATATATATTCCTCGCTTGCCAAAGTTAATAAAGAGAAAAAAAAAAAGGAATAAATTCACTCTCTATAAAATTTAACCCACTGATTTTCGTATTGTTATTCTGTATGATAGAGATAGAAAATATATTTCCTCTTTTTTGCCGTTGGTTGAAATCAGGATGTTATCTCTAGTTTAATTCGAATGGTGAACTTTCTTTTTACAAAATTGTGCTGATTCGGACTAAGAAACGCGTCCTGAATTTTTTAACTTGATACTTACTTCCTCTAGTTCACGAATCTTGGCCAGAAGTTGTCCTCGGTTCATATCTGCATAGTCAGCTGAAAGTACGCCAAACAAAAAAAAATCAGAATCGATAATGACACAACAAAAGAAAACCGTGAACATGTGGTAGGAGTCATCTGGTGGATGTTTTAACATATATTTTTTTGCACGAACAATAGCAGTTGGAGAAATAGGTCGTGAAAGAATACTAAAGCAACCTGCATAGCAAGCGTTCCCGTACGAATAGGACAATTCCGAGTTACCTTGTGCCTCTGTTTCAAAACGAGTCTTCGTGCAAAAACATTCATATGAAAATGAGTTTGATTTGCATGAAAACGAACCTGTAGGGCGAACACATTTTCACATGAATGGTTTCGCATGAAGGCTCATTTTGAAACAGAGGCACAAGGTAACTCGGAAAAGGCCTATTAGAGCTCTTTCTCCATAGTTGCCGCACGCCCCACCACCCCCATCCCCGTTGATTTTTTGCTCTCGCACCAATTTTCGCGCGACCAGCAGGAGAGAAATTCTTCCCTTGTACGGGAACGCTTGCTCGCGGCAGTGATTTGTGAACAGGTTTAAGACAAAAAAATAGTTGAGAGAGATCTGAATGTATCGTCGTTATGCACCATCAAATTCTCTGACCTAACCAAATAAATGAATAGAAAATAGAAAATAGGAAAACGAACCTTTAAGCGGAACTTTCCTGTTTCCACTTGCCCCGGTTTCTATGGCTGTCAAGAGGTCTTTCTTGAGACTGCGATTTTCAGCTTTCAAGTGGTCATTTTCCTCTAGAGAAGAAAGGAAATAAATTACCGTGATAACAAGGAACGTTGTTTGAAAAGGAAAACGGATTATTAAAGATGGACATGATTCGAAGTCGCAGGTATTTTCGCAGGGATTACAGGATTACAATGATAGAAATTTGATTGAAACTTGCAGCTGAAATTCCATCAGTAAAGGATTATTCCAAGGATATCCTCGCCCACAATTATCCTGCTACAAAGTAGAAAGTAGTGCATGTAATTTGTTTTACCATACCGGCCAGTCTCTGAAGAGAAACACTCGTCGGCTTTCCTTTTGTACCTTTTGAAAGGGTGTTATTCCTAGGACTGCCGAAAAGACACCATAACAATTTATCAGTGAAGATAGTTTGTAAAAGGGCTTATCAGTAGAAAATATGCATTCTGATAGGTTTGGTAACAAATTCCATTCTCTTTCTGCCCAGTGAACTCATACCCCTCCCTCCCCTCCCCCTAGCTACTCAGAATTTTTTTCCTGCTGAGAAACACATGTAAGATTGTCATTTGAGAACCTTTTTATTTCAAGGAAATTAGCAGTCAGAGGAACAAGAATTTCAAATGAAATGCACAACAGATCATCAACTGGTTCATTGTCAGAGAGGTAAACTCTGGTATGCCTTGAGCGGGATAAAATTATTATGAACCCACAACACCCTGATCCCATTTAGGGCATCTAATTTTTTTTTTGGCATTTGTTCTGTTCAATATAGAAAGTCATATTGATCAGAGGATACTTCTCTGATGATGAACAATTTGTTTGAAATATACTGTGTTACTTTCAGATTATCAACTGTAAATAAACATTCCAAAATTTTTTGGTAAATTACCTAGTCCTTCCAAACGAATCCTGAACTTGAGATTGCTGCATTTCCAACAAAGCCAGTTGTAATCTTTGAACCTGGTGAAACAAACAAACAGCAAGATAAATCAGAATCATTTCAAAAAAATGACAACAACACCTTGATTTAGTCATTCAGCCAGATTCTCTTCAACATTTTTAAAACTACGATCTAAAATGCTGATTTCATGATTTTCAGGCAATTTGAAAACAATGATAAAAAGCGATTGGAACTGCATTACAATCTCGTAGAATCTGTTGCAATCTCATGGAAATGTGGGATCCAAAGTTGCCAGTTTTTACACAGAAATGAATGCCAGGGGACAAGTGCTTGCCCCCTAACATACATGTACACTTCTTTAAAGAAATTGGAAAGTTTGGGATCCCATATTTCCATGAGTCTGAAACAAGATTCTTACAAAACCTTGCTTATTTACAAAACTGACTTGATAAATTGATCTACAGAGGTGTTGTTTTGTTTATATGATAAATATGAAAAGTTTTTGTTATTGCTTGACATCGTTGAAGTGGTCCATCTAATCTGGTTCTAACAAGGAACCCCTTTAAAAGAAATACAAACTGCACCCACCCTATTTTCTATTATGTGGTTTCTTTTAAGCATTTCAATGAGTTGAATATTAAATCTAATCTTGTACTTTTATTCAGGATTGAGTGCATATCAGCAATTAACTGCATATTAAAACAAAACGAACAATAAAACTCAAATATCCTACCCTGAAATGTAAAAAGATATATCTACCAATTATAGTTACCTCTTGGTAATATGTTTCACTCTGAATTTGCAGCTCTTCAATGTTTGTCATTTTGATATCCTTCTTCAGCTGACTACAGCAGAAGACAAAATATCAGTACATGAAAATTAGTTTTGCATTGCATTGAGTCATCTTTACATCATGATCTGCCACATGCTGCTGTGGTGATATTTCACTGGGTCCATACTCCACTGACTGCATGGAGGGGTCATTATTCACAGCTTTGGCCAGAGATTTATCCATCCTGGCTACTCATGCTTGGTTGAGGCTCAGGTTTGGGCAGCCAGGAAAAGGTACTGCAAGCTATATATGTTTTCTTCCTCAAAAGGAATAGGCTGTTGTTGAGCTGTTTTACATGGAATGCACTGTTTGGTTGAACAGTCTTGCTTTTTACAGGACGGAATGTTAACTATGAGACTGTACATGCATACAAACATTTATTTATCTCTTCTGGTATTATAGGACATAAAGTTAATAATCAGACCTATAAGAGACTGAAAAGAAACCATCACTAGAGTGAAGTCAACTGCTAGAATTGAAAAAGGAAGTAATCAACAAAAACTTCGGGTCTGTAACACAAACAAATTAGAGGCCAGGTCTACAATTAAATGACAAATTTGGAGTGTAATAGCTAAAGCGTTTTGACAACTGGGCAGTACATCCTTACAAAAATTCCAAGGAATACAGCATCCTCCCCCAGGGTACACAGCCAGAAAATAACTAAATATTTATCATTTAGATTATCACCTTAATTCTGCTTCTTTGTCTTTTACTGTTCTTTCAACTGCATGGAGCTTCTGTTTCAGACTATTTACAATCTGACAAAAAAGATACAGTATACATAAGTTGAACTGTCTTTCAGTTATTTCATGTTACAACTGAGTTTACGTGAAAGTTTCACATGTGAACACGTTGTCTGAACACCACTGTTTTAATACTTACTGCACTAGTGTCTCCCTTTTTGTCTGTTAACGTCCTTCTCACATCTTCCGGCTGATAAAAAAATATATATATCGTGAAAAAGAAATATGACAGAACTCAAAATTGCCATTTTTTTGAAAGTGTATAAATTATTACCTCAAACTGTATTATGATTTTAATATTATATCAATCACTAAGTTATGCTCCTAAGGACGATCTTGCTAATTTTTTCTGTGCATCCTTACTATGCATGCAAATTCACACATCACATCATGCACCAAGCGCATACTAAGTAATAAAATGGATAATGATAGGGCAGCGGTTCATTGCTATAGCTTTGCCTGGACTTGGACGTTCGGTGACCCCTATTTTTCTTTTGATGGATCATTTTCTCTACCAATTTTCTAAGTTAAGCAAAAAATGAAGAAAACTAATCGATTAGAAGTTTGAACGTTTTGCAAAATGCACCATCGAATTCCGTTATTTTTAGCTCTTTGTTTATAGATCTGTGGAGAGGTTTCAAATGCCTCTTGAAGGATTAAGTTTTGTGAAAACGTTGACAACATTTGGAATTATTAAAGCAATGGATTCACTTATACAAAATATTACTAGGATAATTTGTCTTGGTTGATTCATCTTTGATATTTTAAGCTAAAAACCCTGGAGACCATGCTGATTTATGCGTGCCAATTTTTAAAATCAGACTACATATAGTTTTCCACATGCTTTATCTCTAAAACAGATCCGTGACCCCCATTTTTTTCGTTTCTGAAAAAGGTAATTCATTATCTGTCTGCAGTAGAAAATCTATTAAGTAGGACATTTTCATATGAAATGTCCTTAAGTAGTTCTAGAGCAAATTGTGGGTTCAGACACTTTCATAATCTTTTTAAAAACTGTCATCCATTTGTTTTATGGAGTTGGTAGTATGTATAAATTAGTATCTTCTGAGCAAAGATTTTTTTACTGCCACCATGCATGAAGCCAGGATCTGATTATTTCAGATTCTGGATTTGTAGACTGAACAAATTTGAAAGGCTCAGAAAGTGTTTAGCTACTGTACTGGATTGCATACCTGCTTTCTTGTATTTAAAAGGTCTTCCATTTTCCTGTCCTACATTTAATACAAGAATTAGTATAGCAGCAGCAACTAGAGCAATTATGCAAGGACATTTGCAACTATGTAATAATCACAACGACAGTGAAAATTGCTGCGCCACTTATTTGTTGTTTATTATTCACCCTCTTCCAATGGAGATTACAAGTTCTGTATTGAACAACAATAACGAAAATCTGGATTTTTTTCATGTTAAATTATTTGGTTGGTTAGGAGGTCCTCCCCAAAGTAAACCACATGGGGATTGACCTTTGAACTAATTAATATGACTATGCACTGCTGTGAAGGGTATGGTTTTAAAGCAGTTTAGTCTGGGATAGAGAACAGAAATTAGAGAGTCTTGGTCCACCAAACAGTGTATGAATGGAAATTGTGGAAACTTTCAACAACTGAATGTGATGGTGATAGAGTTTCTTATTCTGAAAGAAAAAAGTCTGAAAGTCTGGGATAAGGTAGGGATGTTTGGCATCTAGCCTGGAATGAGGTTGCAAAACACAGAACTCCACATGGTCTGGTACAGGGTAACGGTCTCTGAGTTACACCCTACCCAAAAATCTACAGTTCCCCACCCAGGGGCTGGATTATATAAGGTATTTTTTGAGAGCCAAAATGAGTACAACTTGCATGTGTAATGAGAGACAATCTTGTTTTTTAACTCTGTCAATCACATGATTTATAGAAACGTAATTGCCAGATTTTAACACATGAGTTAGCATACCTTCAGCACATTCTCTCCTTCAACTCTACGGAGTTTTGTGTTGATAACATTGTTTTCAGCTTTCAAAGCATTTATAATCTGCAGAATTGAACAGAAACAAGAAAACAATAAATTTCATGTAAAACTTCCAGGAGCATCCTCAAAAATGTACTTGTTTTGGGGATAACAATTCACAGAGAAACAAACAGGTTGAAAATGAATCAATAATGCAAAAATAAAAATACTATAAAAACAATGAAACATTGTCCTTATGTACTCCCAGAATCTCCTAGTAAATTTACATGTAACATTAAGTGGATGTACATGTAAATAATACAATGTATGGTAAACTAGGCCACTAACACAAATAAATGTTTTTAAACTTCTAATGCAGTGGTAAAAAGACTAACATCTAGTCTATAGATGCACAAAATCAAGTAAACGAGTTCCTTTCTGAATGATTTGTTTCTTCCCCAAAATAACAAGTGTTCCAAGTCAGCATCATAACTTACCTTCTTTAGTTCTATGACCTCATCGTAGTAATCCTCCGGGGGTTTGTATGCAGGACCTCCACTAGATAAATGAGGTTCACCTCAAAAAATAAAAATATGGTCACTTAATACTTTAATTAATCTGTAGACGTACCATAAATTTCTGAAAGCAACAACCTCCTGAAAGTAACAACCTCCCAAAAGTAGCAATCCCGCGAAAATAACATCAAAAAATTGTGGCCACTAATAAATCCGGAAAGTAGCGACCTCCCGAAAGTAGCAAGCCCACCCCCAACCAACCCCCCTCATCTCCCTGAAAATAATGAGACCCAAGGTCAATAGTATATTTATTTTTCCAATTAATGACTAGCCAGGTGAAAGTTACGCATGGTAACTTTATTTAAGGCACGCTTATGCCACGAAATGTTGTGTACCCGGGTAATGTCAATTTATGCTTCATCAGTTAATGTTGTGCTGTGTTAAAACAAAACCTGTAAAATTTTCATCAAATAACATGAAGTCAAGTCTGAACGTAATATTGGAAAAGTTGATCTAAATTAGTATCATTTCCAAAAGGAGCATATTAAGAGGAATGTTTCTTCAAATTTAAATTGAAAAATCACCCAACGCACTGAGACATTGTTGCAATAGACTAACATAGCAGTGTGTCATGAAGAAAACAAAAACAGTTTATGGTATCCACCTTGCTTTCCCACTCACCACTCACAACACTGTCTAAACATGAAGAGCTTGCCCATGTGACAGCAATATAGACTTAAACTGGAAGAAGAGCTTAGTCATACCAACTTTATATAACATTTTTTGCTCCCCAAAAGTAATGACCTCTCAGAAGTAACACCCCCTCCCCCCCAAAAAGTAATGAGCCCCAAAGGCTGCTAATTCCAAAAGTACATGTAGTGAGGGTCATTACTTTTGGAAGTTTATGGTAATGCATACATTAATATGCACTTTTTTAGGTTTTTTAGGGAAATAGCAATCTAGTCAGTACATTTTATTCACACTCCTAATAGATTTTGCAACTCTTTGGGTATTAAGGGGTTGCAGTCTGTCAGCTTAAAATTTCCACTGAATCATGATGAAGATATACACAATCCACTACATGCCCGTGAAAACTATTTACTGCCATCAACATCAGTTTGTGTACACATTAACACTGAGAAATATTTCTGGAACTTTGTGTTGTAGTAACACCAGCCATAATATAGGGGCACATAAACATATTTTTGGTCTGGGCTTCATGGCTTGTTTTCACATGATCACTGATTGACAAGCAGTACTCAGAAATATATCAAACAATCCAGAGCAAATTACTTTTAGGTTCTCCCATGCTTGCGACAAATGAATTAACATCTTTGAAACATTTTTGAAAGAAATATGCTTGTGTATTTCTGTTTGATCCTGAGTGCGGGTCAATGAAAAATTCTAAGTCCCTGGAAAAAGTTGAATACATGATCCTCTGCACACCTAATCACCCAATCACTGAACTACAGACCAGGAGAACTGTAATGAGCTAGGTTATGTACTAAAATTTAATGTACATATGTACAGAGTACATGTTAGATTTGTATTTCTAGAGTTCTCTGTTTAATATAGCACTTACTTGCAGACATGCTAGCACTCCTAACGTGATTTTTGTTCTTCAAGTCCTCAACTTGAACAAAGTCACTTAAATGCCTTGCTCTGGTTCCACTCCTACTCTGCTTGCCATAAGAGGCTCTAGTACCTGCCCAAGTCTTCATGGGGGAATTTTCTGTACTCAGGGCTAAGAAGAAAATTTTTGTAATGCAGCTGGAGATTTATCAGAGATCACTCTTCATGTGTCCATTAGCAGACACTATAATTATATCTCTCAGTTACTACGCACCCTGTGATTAATTTAGCAGGCCATATTCGACTGTACAGCCCACTTAAATTGAGTTTTTGTTGCCAAAATGTTTCGTGATTTATCGCCAGTTAAGAACAATAATTATTGTTGTTCTTAACTTTTACAGCAAGTAAAATTTTATAACTTTCTTTGTTTATTTAAACGTGGTAACGACTTAACTACAATTTCAAAATGACTTCTTTTGCTTTTAAGGTGCATTAAAAGAAATTTGAAGCCATTCTGTGCGAATAAAAATCATTCCCGAACCTGTCAGAAACACAGTAAGTATTAAATATCTTTTAAATTTCTTACTAACCTAACGTCTTCTCGGTCTGTACTATAGGTTACAGATCCTTGTTTTTCTCCCTTCGATTTATGGTCATAAATTGAAGAGGAAAAAGCTTGGTCCGTAACTTACAGTGTGGATCTTGAATTTGGTTATTAAGATGTATTATCACATAACTTCATGCCTTCCTCTTAATTAAATGTGATGGCAGATTTAGGGATGGTACATGTGGGCTACAGACCATCCTTCCCCCTTCATCGTCCCATATTTTCAAAAATTTTCTATCAATGGTTTTTCCCCATTCTATTCATGGCCCCTGCACTTTGCACTTGGGCCATAAAGCAAAGGGGAAGAAAACTTGGCCTGTAACTCACATGTAGAGTAGGGACCTCGCACTCAGTCAGTAAGAGGTATACATGTATATCATGTAAATGTGATCGCTTACTTGCAGTTCCATTTCTCATTGCAGTGATCCACATATTTCTTGCAGCAGGTTTGGGAGGCTGTTGTTTTGAAGAGCCTTTAATTTGGGTGCTAGAATATGGTGACTTTGCTGTCAAATATAAATAATCCACTTATTAAATAATCCAATCCATGGCATCACACATTGTGCAATATGTAACAAGAGGTTGTTTTGCATTGCTTGGTTTCTTGCTATTAGTTGTTTGCCAATCAGCTGCATTTGGCCTTCTTTGCAGGTCAAAATCAATTTTAATCTAGATGGAAAGGTGTAAAGGGTTAGGAGCACAAAGTTTTGATAGCAAATTAGGTTCATACTGTGAATCCAAAATCTGTTATCTATTTTACTTAAATGAGCATTTAATAATAATCACAGTACTGAACACTGTAGACCATAAAGCAACTTACATGTACCTCCTTTATGGTAATAGACCAGGAAATTAATTATGTTAATGCATTTATTACATAATTTTATGTATTTATCATTTATCATATAAAGTTTATCCTTACCAGTTAGAGATCGTCGTCCTTGCACTGACTTAGACCGTCGTGAACCACCTGAGTGTGTATAAAAATATTAATAAACCAAATATCCCAGACAGAACATCCCAAAACTGCACACAAATACAAAGAACATGTAGCACTAAATATCTCACCAGACGGAGGTCTTGGCATGTGTCCACTTCCACCAGAAGCTGCACTACCCTAAATAAAACAATTTCAACAAAATACAAATGTAACATCTTAACCTATTTTATATACCATAATTTATGGTGCAGAAAGATCGATCATAGTGTAGAATTATAAAACTAGGAGGTCTCTAATCACACTGTCATGTATCACTCTGTACACTTTTGTCCAAGCTATAGCTGTAGTGTTCATGTGTATAGCAGGGGTTTGGTTAAGGGCTGGGCACTGGGCAAATTGACCAGCTGTGAGGACAATTTTGTCCGCCTGGTTTGCCCATCTAGAAGAAAGATTTTGTCATAAAGAGGTTCAGTTCAAAAACTTTTGCCTGCCTGTGAAAACCAGTTGCCCTCCAGGTGAAAATGTTCATGAAATCCCTGGTATAGTGAATTAGCAGCTTCCTTTTAACTTTACTCTGACTAGTTAGTGCACTTTATTCTAAGCTCAGGTCTACTTCGACAAAACTAAAAGTCCTGCCAAGAAGTGGTAAAACTAACAACATGCAGTGTAAACTATCACAAAAGTTTAGTGGATAAAATTTCATTGAATTGAAACTAAAACACTGCTTTACTGAAAACAAACATAATATTAATAGTACATGTTGTAGTAAATACAATAAAATGCAGCACAACACTTTATATTTCATTAATTACACCTTGTTGGATTTGGTTAAACACTATATATTTATAGCCAAATAATTGCTACGATCATCTTCATTCAACATGCCCTCATACCTGTAGGATTATTATGTTAATTTATCATTGTAATGTCTGTTCAGTAAGAGTAGCTGAAATTTTGAATGTTACCTATATCATGTGGGTACAAATTTGTTTGTTCCAGATGTTTGACATGCCATTATTTATAATAATGCTTACAACTAGGTTTATGTGTAATTTTAAAGAAGCTGAAATTCTTGCAGGCCTCTTTCAGCTATTCTTAACAATGCACGCATAAGTAAAAAATAAAAACAAAAAATAAATTGCTTTTATTATTTGAGTGTCATGGTATTTAGCATTGCTGTGCTAATTGGGAACAGTATAAATGATGAAACAAATATTGTAAAAAGAACTGAAAACTTTTTAAAAATCCTACCTGGTTTGAAGGCTTACCAGTTAGCTATTCTACAAGATGTGTTGGAGTTAAATTTGGGACTACTGAACACAAATTCATCTAGTGGCAGGGAAAAGGATTTGAAACCAGGACCTCAGGATTAAAAATCCCAGCACCCTAACGACTAGGCCATGCTGCCTTCCGGTTCCCCGGAGTTATCAGAAGTATGTGTCAGTTTCCTGGTGCACAAAAAACCTCCTCCTTTAAGGTGTAACCTCCTCCTTTGCATTCTTATCCCGTAGCAATTTCATAAAAGGAATAAGTAACCTCTGTTACTATGAAGATCATAGCATATTATTTTACTCTTTCAACCTCACCTGTGGCTTGGGTTGACCCTATGCAATCTTGGGAGCAAAATGATGAGGCTATGATCTTAACCAGGGTGTAAAAACTGGTATTAAAACATAGACACAGAAGTTTTCTTCCTTATTTAAAACTCTAAAAGTTAATTATCAATAAACAGATTTTTAGCTTGATAATTTGGACACAAGCTTAAAGCTTTTAAACTTGTTACGAAAATGAATTTGAATTGAAATCCTACCACTGAGATTGTAGAGCCATTGGACACATCAGAGTATGCATCCACATCCTAAAATGTAAAGGCACAATGAGAATATCCAGACAAATATTGAAATCACACCCCACATTGACCGTTAGCTTACACAAATTCACTGTGCCAAAATGAACGTGTTTCACCCACCTCTACCGTTACTCCTGGAATTGGCATTGATTTTATCAACTGTCGTTTACTCCACCTATTCCTATGTTCTTTCTTATGTCACGGTATTCGCTAGATTCACTTTCTGCAGTGAAAGAAATTAACCAATGAACTTATCCGTTAGTTGCAGCAAGTTCTCCATAGTAAGTTTTTTTTTTTTTTAATCAAAGGAAACGATCTGCTTCTTCACCTGTCATTATAATCCTCATGTTTCATTATTTCAGCCTTTACAGGAAGACTTTCCCATAAGTTCAAGTCAAAGTGAAGAAAACATTTTCATTCTAATTCGATAAGCGATGGTTTCTCTCAGTTTGTCATCACAACAGCATTTGCGCCTGCAGAGGATATAACCTCTTGACAGCGGCACACCGCATCTAGTGCCAGTTTCCCTATTGTATGCGCGGTCGAACCTTGTTACAGTCGGATTCTGGCTGAGTGTTTCTTTTTTCAATTGTACTGTATTACTGGCCGGGTTGTTAGAAAGCCCTTATTTATTCCATATTGAACGAGAAAAAAAAAAATTCATTTGATCACTTTTTATCATTCTCCAAAGAAATCCGGGAAGTGGTCAACAGGGAAATGATCTATATAAAACAAACCAAAGAACACAAAAGGCTCCGCCCGTCGGCACAGAGAGTAGTTTATTTGAAGGAATAGCTAAAATATAGAATAGATAGAATGGATAGTTTATTGAGTTTCAACTGTTGCAGTATATCACTGAATTGTGCAGAAACCTTACAAAATATTAAAAAACAATGCAATGCAAAGTAAACCCAAGAAATTAAATCAACTATTTACAACGACTACCTATAATACAATTGTTCATCTTGTTCGTTGAACGTGTGGGCAACTGAAATGGGCGAAACACAGGTGAAACACACGTGATTGGCGAGGGTAGAAGGAGGTGTAGCTTGTGATCGTACAAGACAAATAAAACCAACAAGTGAAAACAATCCTATACTACTACAAAATAAACCTCTTCGCCCAACAAAAGGTGGGAGGAAAGGAAAGAAACTAGAAAGATTAACAGTACAGTACGCATCAGGCCTAATACGAAAATCGAGACTGAATGATCTGAAAATGCAAGTCACATGTTTGTCACAAGTTGGAAAAATAATCCACTTCATGTACAATATAAACTATAATAACTATAAATTAGCATTTGTGGGGCGAATTAAACATTTAAATTTACAATCAAAACAACTCAATTTAAATGCAATTTAATTTCAACTTTCTGCATGTTATGGGATTAATTGCCGCGCTCTCAGCCAATTCAGCATGCTGAAATTTGTGCATGTATATTATTAGGGGAGTAATCTGGCGTGTAATTTAAAATTGGAATAAGCGCGCGACGTGACGCAAGAATCTGAAAACAAACAAACAAACAAACAAACAAACAAACAAACAATAAAACCAGTCAGAATTGTGCACTTTTTTCAGGGATACGATTACTTATCGGAGCTGTTTCCCCTTACTTGTACTTGAAATAGTTTTGAAGCTGCAAGACAGCTGGGCAGTTTTGCTGGACTCTTCCTAATGACCTTTTCATCGAGCACGACAATGTCATGAATCGAAATGAAAATTTAGCAGATAAAATTAACGAGACGACCGCCGACAAGGAAAGATCAGGAAACCACATTCAAGTTGTTTTCACTAATTTTAGGGTCCGCTTTTAGAATACAAACAACTTTTCTCCGATTCTCAGAATTTATTACGCAATGAAGACATTCTGATTAGGGACGGACCATTATTTATTTTTTATGGGGGGCGGGGACGGGGGGAGGGAATTGGGCAATTCTCTCCCAAAAATACCGCATAGCAAAAACTGCTGGAAAAAAAAAATGGGGCAAGGTGAGCCATGGGGGAAAAAAGTCAAACAAGTGTTTTCTACTGTTAATATTTTGATTTTTGATGTTTAAAAAAATTATTGCCCAAGTTGTTGCCGGCAGCAAAAAATCATGAACAACCTAAGGGTGAGAAATTCATGCCCCAGAGTAATGGCCCCTCATCTTACTGGCGTACAAGGCTTTTTCCTAGGGAATGAATGTCTAAGAAGAAGAAAGTTTTCTCGAATTTCATGACTAAACTGCAACTCTATAAATGAACTACATTTATGGTATGGCTGGTCTGGTTCATATTAGATGAACGGAAATATACAGTGGTGTTGTTTATGTTATTGACAATGTAATGTATGAAAACTGACACGAATATTAAAAAGCTCCATTTCAAAGTATCGAAACTCCAACGGCTTATCTCGTGTCTTTGTGTTATTATTTTGATGTGGGTGTTTTTTTCTGGGGCCATCTGAAAGCTTTTTTTGCGAATTATGCTTTTCTGGGTTTTATATAACGGTAACTGACAAAATCAATTGGGTGAGAGGAATTTTGTACAGTAGAAAAGTAGCACATTGGCCTGACCCATGACATGGCCATGACCTCAAGAATTAATCAAAGCGAAGCCAGATAGACTGGGATGAGCCTGGGATGCTCTTCTTGTCGGTTCACTTTCAAACGCCCTGCTTGATTTTTATCTGATCTACCCTGGCCAGAGGTTTTTCCACATTGAGTTCTTGGCAAACATCGAGGTTTTACTAGTACAGACTGATGTTCTCTTTTAACGCAGACTGATTCCATTGTTTTAACTGCGAGGCACAAATTTACACTCAGTAATCAGGGCTTCAAATAAAAGACTTTATTACGATACAATTGACTCTCCAACAAAGGTCACTTCATGTTCATTCCAAAGAATCAAAGATAGTTTTACTAAAGAACAAAATAACTGAATAAATGATATAGACTGACTGATTTACTGCAAAAAAAATATCGCTTGAAATTACTATGATTGGAACAGTCCCTACTGAAAAAAACTTAATGTCCATAATGCAAACCCAGCTTCGTGAAATCGGTGACTCAAAGCTATTTTCTATGCTTTTTTTTTTTATGGTATTGTAAATTAGCGAAGAAAAGCCACAAGAGCGCATGCCAAGAGCATGATGGTGCTGACCATTGGTACTTTGCCTCCATTGCACAAATCGCCACTGCAGCAGTTGATCTCGCACCTCTTCACCTCTCCTACGTCAGACTTGCAAAAAGGCGATGTATCAGAATCGCATTCGGGTGAATCGCTGCAACCTTTGCCGTATACCGCCATTGAGACATCATCTAGAGTAAATTCTTTTATAACTTTGATACAGCGATCCGCACTTGAAACACAAGTCACCTCTGTTCTGATACTGGCACAGTCATCCCAACCCTTGGTGGAAGCACACTGTTAGCACTTGAGGCCGTATCCTGTGAAAATAAGTAAAAAGACAAACACTAAAATCCGACTCACGTACACAATCTGCGCGAAGATAACTGAATTATATTAGTTCCAAGGAGACCGAGGTTACTGAAAAGAAACATGACTTCGGAACGAACTAAATAGAACTGGCATGGGGTAAATATCGTTAATTTTGTAAAACTGTTTAAAGTTGTTTTAGAAAAAAAGTGTGTGAGACAAACAAGATTGATGATCAGAACTGTTTTAGCTTCAAACGGCAGTGTAGTTATCTTTTCCAACCCGCTCGCGAGTTTCCGTTGGTGAGGACGAACGGAAAAGAGCATTCAGTTGGAGCTTTTAAACAACTTTGATCAATGTCTTTGGTTTGAAAGATTTGTCAAAAATAGTTTGATCTGGGCTTATTAATTATATTTTATTATATATTGCTATTATATATTCCAGTATTTCGCTTAATTTCATCCGTGAAAGACCAAGACGATCTCCAAAACGCACAAGTTTCATAGAAGAAATTTCCTCTCGATAACCGTCAAAAGCCCTAAATTTAACCGTCAAAATCGAAAAAATTTAACTGTCAACCATCAAAGCTATCCCCGATTGAGACCCTCAAATGATAATCATGTGAAGAACTGAAGGTGAGGTAATGCATTTTTTTCTGGGCTAATAATACAGTGGCGGATTCAGGGGAGGGACCCAGGGGCCTGGCCTCCCTTATTTTGGGTAAGAAAAAACGCAGAAGGAAGAAATGCTGGCAAGGAAAGAAAAAAAACCGACCCCCTCCCCCCTCCTAGCTCAAGGTCTGGATCCGTCACTGCAGTACACTTGCAAACAAATGTTTTCTAGAGCATACAAATCAGGAGCAAGTTCAGGCTTAATTAAAAGAATCCACAAAAGAGAGAATAAAAGCTCTTGATGTCTTGAAAATCGGTATTTACTTTGCTGCTTACTGGCTTCGCTAATTTGTATTTAAAAAAGTGCTGAACATTAAAGATCGTCAAAAAAAGTGATGTTTGGAGACTGTAGTAACTTACCGATAGGGATAGAAACAAGAAAGGCGAAGACAAGAACTGTTTTCATCTTAGAAGGTTCAATCACTCCCCCGAACTCTGCTTGTAAAACGCTGTGGTGCAGTTTGACGGTATACCAACTCGTTTTCGTCACTGTGCAGTAATTTATAGGGCAGCAATGAAAACAGAGGTGTTGGTTACCGTGCAGAATTCGAACCAATCAGCTCTTTTAGGAGATCTTATGATTTCTCACGTGACTCACTCAATCCTCTTGGTATCCTTGGGCACATAAGGCCATAATCTCATGATTAGCTTATGACTATTTGACCTTGATAGACCTTGGGCAAACAGATCTACATTCCTAAAGAAAGAAAAATACTAACAAGTCATGGCAAGTTTTCACGTTGAATATAGATGGGAACCAGAAACTCTAGAACCGGGAAAAAGAATTCGAAGAAGAAGGGAAACAAGAATTAAGCTATAGAAATAAAAATGCGGCAGATACGACAGACAATCACTGAAAAGAAAGGTACATAGTTTCAGGCTTTAAGCTCATGCTGGTGTTTTGTCACGACCGCGAATCTCTGATTGACCGTTGCACAACTTCTTTTCTCGAAATTTACTGGAAACTCTGAAAAGGAAAAATTAAGGTGAAATGAAAATTTAGCAAATAAAAGAGACATTCACTGACAAGGAAAGATCCGGAAACCATATTCAAGTTGTGTTTACTTTTTTTTAAAAGGGTCTCTTTTTAGAAGAGAAAAAAAACCGCGTTGCGTTTCTCGGAATGCATTACACAATGAGGGCGTCCTGATTACCGACATACAAGGTTTTTTTCTCGGAAAGCATTTCTGAGGAAAATGGGGTTTTCTCGGAATTTTATAATTTAACCGGAAGCCCATGAATGAACTACTACGCTGGTCCANGAGGGAGCGGGCGGTCGCGCCTGCAATAGACGTAATATCAGATATGAACGGACTGAACTCGGATCTTCTAAATGTTTTAGTTCATTTCAAAAAATGGAGGCTCCAATAGCTTATCTTGTGCCTGTGTTATTATTTTCATGTTTGTGATTTTCTGGGCCGGCTGAAAGCTTGTTCGGCGAATTCCGAATTCCGAAATACAGGCTGTACTTCTGAGTCTTAGTCTCCACAATATTGACTGATAAAATCAACCAGGTTAGTGGCATCCTGTACATTAGAAAAGACGGCAGCACATTGGTCTGCTGTAGCGAGATTATGACCTCGAGAATTAATCAGAACGAAGCCAGATAGATAGGATGAGCTTAGGATGCTTTGGGGTCCTTTGGCTTCTTGTTCAGTTTTAAGCCCTACTTGACTGTGCATACCCTGGCCCTTTCTTTTTTTTCTCATGGACTTCTTGGCGAACAGCAAGGTTTTAAAAGTACAGAATGATGTTCTCTTTTAACGCAGATTCCATTTTCCTTAATGCGAAGCACAAATTTACACTCAATCAGGGCTTGAAATAAAATCCTTTATTTTAGATACGATTGAGTCTTCATCAAAGGTCACTTATGTTCATTCCAAGGTATAAAAGATAGTTTTACTAGAGAACAAAATAACTGAATAAATGATATACAGACTGACGAGACTGATTTACTGCAAAAAATATCGCTTGAAATTACAATGACTGGAACAGTTTCTACTAAAAAAACTCGATGTGCCTAATGCAACACTAGCTACGTGGAATCGGTAACTCAACGTTATTTTCTACACTTTTTCGTGGCACTGCTAACTGTTGAATAGCTTCTCAAAATTAGCGAAGAAAAGCTACAAGGGCGCATGCCAAGAGCATGATGGCGCTGACCATTGGAACTTTGCCTCCATTGCACAAATCGCCACTGCAGCAGTTGATATCGCAC